CGAATGATATATGTTTTTGAAAGTTTTCATTGATTTTCATTTTTTGGTGAAAATCTCAGTAATTTTTCGGCGTGAAAATTCGAAAAAACAAAAATGATCGGATAGGATAAAAAGGTACATCATTCGACTCGGTTTTCGACGCTAACTCCGAATATGATGTTTTTGTTGCATAAAAAGTGAGTTCTGGTGGAGAAAACTGAGAATTAAGGGCACAATTCCGATTTTTCGCTCCTGATTTAGAAAAGGTGAAATTTCTCAGCAATGGAGAGGAATTTCAAAAATCCGGAGTTATACTTTTGTTGTACGAATCAAGGCGGTTCGAATGGCATATGTCACAAGATTCCATCTCCTCACACAAAAACCTAGATAGGTTTAGAAAATGACTCGTTCATGTTTCTCCTCAGTCCATTCACACGTCCATGGTGAACGAGTGTTTACCTGTGAAATGGACTGAGAACCATTTTCTAATTCAGTTTTCAACGCTGAATAAGCAGAAGATAGTTTGAACCGTCAATACTATAATATAAGGTGAAAATTTTAATTCAAAAAAAAACGAAGGATTTCTCTATTTTTGACACCGTTTGAGTTTTTTCATTTTTCAACATAAAAAAAACGTCGGAAAAAATTGAGGACCACATTTTCTTAATTAGCTTAGACCCCTCTCTCGAATGATGTACAGTAAGTTTAAAAAACAATTTCATTCGATTTTTGAATTACCTGCACCTTACGTTTCATATTAATAGCGGATAACCGTCTATTATCCATCGATGACTAACTTTTCACATTTTTATTTAAAAGGAACAAAGCTCGAAAACTCTTTTGTTAGGTGTCAGCTGGAAGTGATAGATTGTGTCCGTACTCGAACGCCACGTGATTCCATAAAGAGAAGATTCTTTTTGGTCCCATTCCTTTTTTATTTCTGGAAAGAATGAGATGTAGCTGCCATGGCTGGTAAAAAGCATTCATTAAACCCTCCAAAATTCGTATTGTAATACTGATACTTTGATCCTTTTTCTATATTTTTAGAAGCAGTTCGTGTGAAATATCGTCTCAGCGCATTAAAATATGATAGATGTTACTCAAAATTAATTCGTCCACGTATGAGCGATTTCTTAAATGATGAAAGAAAACGCCAATTGCAGACAATGAAACATCAACTTGCACAGGCAGCTGCAGCACGAGTGAATGAACGTAACGAAAATGAACATTATTAACTACTTCTTGCTACTTTTTTGTTCCTGTTGTCAGATAAACTTTCTTTGTTTAAGTTACTTATGATCTTTCCTTTCTTGTTGACATGAAATGATAAAGATTGAATTAGTATGTTTGTACATACGAAGAACACGAAAACAGTCTTTTCTTGTGATTAATCTGTTGTGAAATTAGCCACTCTCAGTAACTGTGATTTTTCTGCGAAGCTATGAAAATATTTTTTATGTTTTTTGTGATTTTATCCGATAGCTGAACATATTAGAGGTTTCTCTGTTTTCACATATCCTATCTTTTCTTCTTTGGGGTTCCTATATTGTTAAACATGTCACTGTTTTTCTACGTAAACTGTATAGAAGACTTTTTGATTATTGAAAACATTGTATTTTCCTATCTTGCTTAACATGATAATGAAACTCAATTCAGAAGCTCAGAATAAAAAAAAACAGGAAAAAGGGACACCTTAAGGCTAAGGATGACGAATAGCATCCTGAAAGCAAACGCCTCAAAACCCGCTTAAATCAACGCTCTTTCAATAAGATCTACTAAATTCCTGGCTACAGAACTCCGAAGAACCAACCGGATCAGGCCGGATCATTTCCGGCAACTTCCGGTCCGGATTCCGAGCAACGGATTTCCGGCATAATCCGGCATGGTTGCTGCCGGATTTTACCGAATTCCGACAACTTCCCGCATGTTCCGCCGTCGGATCCGTCAGGTTCCGTCAGGACCCTGACGTCGGAATCAACAACCTGGGTACGTACACTAAAGAAGATATTCAAACTTCATTTATACGTGTGGGGATTCTTTATTATATTTATTATCATTTTCTGTCTCGCCATTTTTACTTGTATTTTTATAAAAAGTTGGGCTTAATGCCGGAAGGAAAACAATTTATCTGCCATTTTTCTCCAACAGCAACACAACCACGTGACTTCTTGTTTACCTCTGTCCTTGCGAGGTTTTAAGAAAACGCGAAACAAGTTTACGAACCCCATGCAGGCATTTTTTTGACCTAACGCACTGTGAAACGCGTTTTTTGCACCAGAAATGCGTTTGAACGCGTTTCAGTACACTTGAAACGCGTTTCGATGCGTTAGACAGAAGTAAATGCTGTTAGACGCGTCATATATCAACGCGTTTATTTGCGTTAATCAACTCTAAACGCGTTTAAATGCGTTAGAACTAAACGCGTTTGACTGCGTCAAAAATTAACTCGTTAGAAAAACTTATTTCGAAATACCTATTTTATCATCATACACAGGTCACAGGTTACGAGAGGATAGAGTATGTAAATTTTGAATCAAATGTATTACAAAAAATGTATTTAAAACCATCATGCGTCGATATTGTTTGCCATCTTCCAAAATATTAGATTATTTGAAAAGATCAGTGATTTGTTCGATATCTAGTTTTGTTAAGCCTGGAAAAAAATAGTTCCACATAGCTTTTTCAAGATATTTTCCTCAGGAGGATATAGTTTTAGAAAAATAATCCCATATTCTGATAGCGTTTGAAATTGTCTATTAGTCTCTGTTTCTACAGCCTAAATTCGAAATTATTTGCTAGCAAAAGTTTTGAAAATTGTTAATACCGCCGTCCGCCCTCTCCCATCTAACATATTCCTAGAAATTGTGACGGGAAGGGCCTCTAAGTATTTTCTATTTTTCTCGCGTTTCTTTAGGACCCAAAGGTTAATGTTTTCCCTGAAAGATGCCCTCGAAATACTCTAAAAAACCATACGAAAACTTTAATTTCAAAACTTCAATCAACAAAACTGCGCAGTCTATTCGCGGTTCTATGGCGGTGGTAGTGACAGCGCTGAGAAAGATGAAGAAGATGGAGACATTTTTACTGACAGGGATGACGACAATATTCTGTATTCAATAAATGAAAATTATGAGGGTAATTATATAACAGATGAGGAAGAGGATAATGATTGTGATATGAAAAGGAAGGCGAAAAAACAGGATGATGACAAACCTGGAGGAAATTACCAAAAAGATATAAGTGCTTTCCTGATTTAGAAAATTGTATAGCCTTGAATTACTTCGTTTCCTTGCAGAAAAGCGCAAGAACGTTAGACAAAACTTGCAATCACTGTAAGAAAAAGTTGTCACATCGTGATCGCATCTTTCTTCGAAATCTTCAAAC